TAGGGGAATTAAACTGTTGTATTTTCTATATGAATCTAACTTCTTTTACGTTTATTCAGAACAAGTTGCTGCAGTTTGTCGACGTGAACTCAAATCTAACCTGAAGAAGAAGTTCCAGTGTGTGTTTGAGGGGATCGCTAAAGCAGGAAACCCAACCCTTCTGAAGCAGATCTACACAGAGCTCTACATCACAGAGGGAGGGACTGGAGAGGTCAATAATGAACATGAGGTCAGACAGATTGAAACAGCATCCAGGAAACCAGACAGACCAGAAACAACCATCAGACAAGAAGACATCTTTAAAGCCTCACCTGGAAGAGACGGACCAATCAGAACAGTGATGACAAAGGGAGTGGCTGGCATTGGGAAAACAGTCTTAACACAGAAGTTCACTCTGGACTGGGCTGAAGACAAAGACAACCAGGACATACAGTTCACATTTCCATTCACCTTCAGAGAGCTGAATGTGCTGAAAGAGAGAAAGTTCAGCTTGGTGGAACTTGTTCATCACTTCTTTACTGAAACCAAAGAAGCAGGAATCTGCAGGTTTGATCAGTTCCAGGTCGTGTTCATCTTTGACGGTCTGGATGAGTGTCGACTTCCTCTGGACTTCCACAACACTGAGATCCTGACTGATGTTACAGAGTCCACCTCAGTGGACGTGCTGCTGACAAACCTCATCAGGGGGAAACTGCTTCCCTCTGCTCGCCTCTGGATAACCACACGACCTGCAGCAGCCAATCAGATCCCTCCTGAGTGTGTTGACGTGGTGACAGAGGTCAGAGGGTTCACTGACCCACAGAAGGAGGAGTACTTCAGGAAGAGGTTCAGAGATGAGGAGCAGGCCAGCAGGATCATCTCCCACATCAAGACATCACGAAGCCTCCACATCATGTGCCACATCCCAGTCTTCTGCTGGATCACTGCTACAGTTCTGGAGGAGGTGTTGAAAACCAGAGAGGGAGGAGAGCTGCCCAAGACCCTGACTGAGATGTACATCCACTTCCTGGTGGTTCAGACCAAACTGAAGAAGGTCAAGTATGATGGAGGATCTGAGACAGATCCACACTGGAGTAAAAAAAACAGGAAGATGATTGAGTCTCTGGGAAAACTGGCTTTTGAGCAGCTGCAGAAAGGAAACCTGATCTTCTACGAATCAGACCTGACAGAGTGTGGCATCGATATCAGAGCAGCCTCAGTGTACTCAGGAGTGTTCACACAGATCTTTAAAGAGGAGAGAGGCCTGTACCAGGACAAGGTGTTCTGCTTCGTCCATCTGAGTGTTCAGGAGTTTCTGGCTGCTCTTCATGTCCATCTGACCTTCATCAAGTCTGGAGTCAACCTGATGTCAGAAAAGCAAACCGCATCCCGAAGGCCTAAACTATTAAGAAACATATCTAAAGCAAAACTCTTCTACCAGAGAGCTGTGGACGAGGCCTTACAGAGTCCAAATGGACACCTGGACTTGTACCTCCGCTTCCTCCTGGGTCTTTCACTGCAGACCAGTCAGACTCTCCTACAAGGCCTGATGTCACAGACAGGAAGTGGCTCACAGACCAATCAGGAAACAGTCCAGTACATCAAGGAGAAGATTGAAGAGACTCCCTCTGCAGAGAAAAGCATCAACCTGTTCCACTGTCTGAATGAACTGAATGATCGTTCTCTAGTGGAGCAGATCCAACAGTCCCTGAGATCAGGACGTCTCTCCACAGATAAACTGTCTCCTGCTCAATGGTCAGCTCTGGTCTTCATCTTACTGTCCTCAGAAGAAGATCTGGACGTGTTTGACCTGAAGAAATACTCTGCTTCAGAGAAGGCTCTTCTGAAGCTGCTGCCAGTGGTCAAAGCCTCCAACAAAGCTCTGTAAGGGTAGAGAGTAATTTTAGCAATCAAGTAATCTACTGATTATTTTATTGATTAATCAAGTGATAGGATAAAAACTACTTTTGTTTTATTAAAGAGCAATAGAAAATATAAAAAAAGAGAAAAGAACACAGTTCTCTTAAAATGGAAAACTAATTGGTTTCCTTTAAAGAAAACTATAAATTTATATTGCTTACATTACATACAGTATTATCTTTCAAAACTGAACCATTTAGTGAATTTAATTGCCATATTACATTCTCAGTTTTAAAGAAGACATTTTCTGAAATGCAAAAACAAATTAATTAAAATATTAATAAGTCAGTTCAAATTATCATTTCAAAAATGCACACAAGGCAAAATAAAGCATAAATTCAAATAATAATAATAATAATGCATTGCCTTGGTAAGTTGGTACAACTTAACTGTCAAAACGACAGGTTTTAACTGAACTACAACTCAGACATAATGTAAACCTCAACTGTCTTCTTGAAGCGCATTTCTAAGAGGCCAAAAAAAGTTCTGGAAGGATCGTTTTTCCTGGAGGAGGCAGATCGTGTCTGTGTGTTTCTGTGTGTGTGTATGTGTGTGTGTGTTTCTGTGTGTGTGTGTGTGTGTGTGTGTGTGTGTGTGTGTGTAAGCCTGCAATGTTTCCTGCTGCAGAAAAAATATGCTCTGATGACGTGGATGTTGCTGGAATACAGAGCAGGGACTTTGCCAGTGTTGGATAACGTGCTGCATTTGTTTTCCACCATGAAAGTGGATACTTCTTGGACAGGGGATGTTCTCCAAAATACATCAAGACCTCCTTCTGCACAGTTTGGTTTAACTGCTGCTCCTCATCTTCTTCATCACTAGGGCTGGAGTCTGATGATGATCCCAGTATGTTGTTGAGAAATGATGTTACACCCTTGACATGTGACTGGAGGCTCCATTTTCACTTTTGTTGGGCTGTGTTTCATCCTTTTTGGCAGCAAGTGCCATGGCTTGTACTGTGGTTTGGACCCTGAATGCTTCGTCAGCAGGTAAGAACTTAAGTTCTGTGTTTGGAGATTCAGGTTGAGACACTGATAGTCCTTGCCATCTTGCTGTGATCTGTTCTGCCACATGTGCCTGGAATTACCTTATTGGTGCAATCTCAAAAGCTGAACTCTATGGACTTCTCGAGGCTTTGCACTAGCTGTGGAAGTGCAGAGAGTGTAACATATTGCTGTCAACTGAGAAAGACCGTAGCTCCTCCAAATATCTCAAGGGCCTGGCTCAGCTCCTCAGTGAGGCTCTACTATTCAGGCTTGAGGTCAAGGTAGTGGTGTCTTCTTCTTTGAGTCACTGCTGCATCTGAGAGTGCAGCAGTCACTGGCCATCTTTGTTCCAGCAGCCTGGATAACACGTGATAAGTGCTGTTCCAGCGAGTACTCACGTCTTGAACCAGCATGTGCTGTGGCGTGCCCATTTGCTGCTGCTTAGCCTTTAGTTTGGTGATGGCCAGCTCACTCCTTTTAAAGTGCTCAACTAGACATCTTGCAGCAGCCACACACTTGGAAATGGCTTGGTGATTCTTCAGAGCGCTTTGCACAACCAAGTTCAGGGTGTGGCCTGCGCATCGCACTGATACCCATTCATGCTTTTCTGCCAAAATCTTCACTGCTACTGTGACATTGGCACCATTGGCGTGAACAACAGCTTTAATTTTTTTCTGGTGGAATGTCAAATTTGGCTATAACATCCGCAAGCCACCCAATATTAGGAGCCGTGTGTTTCTCCTCAAGGGGCATCATTGTCAGGCTGTGGGACTCCTTCTCCCAATCCTCCCCAAGAAAGTGACACATCACCCAAGACACGCCTCAGTAGCAACACTCATCCAAATGTCAGTTGTGAGTGCAATGCTGTCAGTCTCCTTAAGAATGTTCTTCAGTGTTCCTTTGATTTCCTCAAACCTTTCCTCCATCATTTTTGTGAAGTAGGTTCTTGAAGGAAGCGTGTACCTGGGACTGAAAATGGAAATCATCTTCTGAAATCCCTCATCCTCCATGGACAGTGGGTGCATGTCTGTTACAATCATGTTCAAAAGGCTGTCTAATAACTCAGCTGCTTGCTCAACCGAACATGGTGCTGCCGTCCGTACAAAACTGTCAATATGACGCCGTGATTTACTGAAGAATTGGAGAAATGATATTGATATTTATTACTAGGCTTTAAATATCATACTGTAAATTAATAAGACTGGCTAATATACTTTAATTAACTATGCTGAAGGATTGTCCTACACCTGCTGATGTTACATACTGCAGTCAAATATTTTGTTTTCCTTATATTTTTTTTGTAGAATGTGATTATTTTATTTTCATTTTTTTATTTGATCATTTTATTTCGAATGTGTGAAAGAAAGAAAAAAACAAAAACAAACATTAAAAAAGAAAGCGCAATGGTCTCACTGAAAACAGTGAACTTACACCTTTTAGAAAACATGATGCAATGCAATGTCAACCACATCCGAAACAGAGTGGGAAGAAGTCAGGACTTATGAGGTGTGTGTATGAGAGTGTCATGGTTTGCTATAGCAGACACTTTTTTGTTAGTTTTGTTTTGGAGTTTTTGCACTTCCTGTTTTATTTTGTAATTGGTTTCCTTGTGTGTCAGTGTTTTTGCTTCCTGTCTTGGTCCTGTGTCTGCCCCGCCCTAATGTGTTCACCTGTGTTCAATCACCCTTGCCTCCCTTGTCTATATAGTCTTTGTGCTCCCCTTTGTCTGTGTTGGTTCGTCTGTTTAGTTCAGGGTTTGTTCACGTCGTCTGTTCATGTCTATGGTTTTGGTTAATAAACCTGTCTGCACTGTTCCCCAAGTTTTGGTTGCATTTGGGTCCTACTTACCTCAAAACCCTTGACAGAATGAACCAACCATAAAAATGGACCCAGCGGCCTACGCCAGCTTCATGGCTTTTTTGGGGGTGCGTCGATCCTCCCAGCCAGCACCCCTGTCCGTTTCCAGGCCCCTTTGTACACTGGCTGACCCATTTTCTGACTCTGACCTGGACGACTCTGATGAGTCCCCTTTCCTGGGAACTCGTCTGGCAATTTTCAGGGGATTTCGTGGAGGCCACAGGGGGCGAGGTAATCATGGCTCCCATCGCCATGGGGAGGCTCGGCCTCAGCCCCAGCCCCAGGTTCCTCGCTTCCGGCCCAGGCCAAAGTCCAAGGTCCCCAGCTTCCAGCCCAAGCCCCAGCTACCCCAGTGTCTAGAGCCTCTACTCCCCTGTGGGCAGGAGCCTTCACCAACTACCCTGGCTGATGCATCAGCTGTTCCAGTGTCAGGGGTTCCAGTTGGTGTTTCGTCGGCTCCTGCCCCACTTCCCGGGTCGACCATCCCAGCCAGCGCATCAGCTGTCTCAGCGTCGGGGGTCCCGGTCGATTCCTCCCTAGCTCCTGAATTGGGTGGGCTGGACAAAGTCTCCCCTGCTCCTTGTGTCCTGTCAGCGGCCCAGCTGAGTCCTGACTCTGGTTCCAAGTGAGTGGTCCGGCCGATCCCTGCTCCTCGTTTCCTGTCGGCGGTCCGGCCGAATCCTGTCCCTCCGCTGGTGTCGGTGGCCGCTACTCTGTGTTCTCCAGCGGCGTCGACGACGGCTACTGGCGTGACGTCGCCGCCTCTCCTGGTTCCTGTTGTGATGTCACCGCCTCTCCCGGTTCCTGTCGTGACGTCACCACCTGCTCCCCTGGCCACCTCCGGTGGCCTCTGCCTCCGTGCTGCCTCCGGTGGCCCCTGACTCTGTGCCGCCTCCGGTGGCCCCTGACTCTGTGCCGCCTCTGGTGGTCCCTGACCAGTCGGCTCCTGGTCACCCTCCAGAGGGGCGACGCCATCCTCCAGCTCGACCTCCGGAGAGACCCCGTCTTCGCCGCCGTCCTCCTGCTCGTCCTCCAGAGGGGCTCTGCCTGCAATGCTGGCCTTCGCCTCGACTTCCTGAGAGACCCGGTCCTTGCTGTCGGCCTCCAGAACGGCTCCGTCCTTTTGCCCGACCTCCGGGTCGCCCCACTGAACTGCCCAGCCTGTCCATAAGGCCTCCGAGCCGTCCCCCTGAGTTGCCCTGTGTTGCCCCTGAGCATCAGAAGATGCTGTCCACTGGCCCCTGGATCCCTCCTCCCGTCCGAGTTAGTGTTCTGTTTAAGAGTCGTCTGGAATCCGACCCTTAAGGGGGGGGTTCTGTCATGGTTTGCTATGGCAGACACTTTTTGTTAGTTTTGTTTTGGACTTTTGCACTTCCTGTTTTATTTTGTAATTGGTTTCCTTGTGTCAGTGTTTTGCTTCCTGTCTTGGTCCTGTGTCTGTGTGGTGATTGTCTGCCCCGCCCTAATGTGTTTCACCTGTGTTCAATCACCCTTGCCTCCCTTGTCTATATAGTCTTTGTGCTCCCCTTTGTCTGTGTTGGTTCGTCTGTTTATTTCTGGGTTCGTCTCCAAGCTGTTCACGTCCTGTTCATCTCTGGGTTTGTCCTTGTTTTGTTCTTGTTGCCTATTGTCATCCCCTGTGGTTCCCTGTGCCTGTTTTTTGAAGTTCTTTTTGTTAAATAAACCTGCCTGCACCGTCTCCCATGTGTTGGCTGCATTTGGGTCCACCCCTACCCAACCCTGACAGAGAGGGGCACGTTCTTGAGCAAAACTTAACTAACACAGGTACATCATAACTAGCCACCACAGGTTCTTTTTTTTTTTTTAAGTGTTATTTTTTTGGGCCTTTTGTGCCTTTATTGGCAGTGCAGTAGAGAGAGACAGGAAATGGGGAGGCAGAGAGAGAGGGAGAATGACATGCAGCAAAGGGCCGTCCGATGTGGGACTCGAACCAGGGTCAACTGCAGCAAGCCTCTACACATGGGGGGATGCTCAACCAACTGAGCTACTCGACAGTTTCTGCACAGGTTGACTACTGGGTCCTCATATGGATTAAACGGAGCTTCGATGCAAAGAATTTGCCTCGATGAATTTTATTAATCGAGTTTAATCGATTTTCTTGAATCGTTTCAGCCCTAGTAGAGAGAGTTGGATTTATTCATCCTTATGTAAAGACACTTCTGTCTTTTCAACAGGAGAGAAAATAACTTCCTTTCTTCTTTAATTCCTCATGATCATCTCTTCAGACTGAGTGGCTGTAACCTCTCAGAGAGAAGCTGTGAAGCTCTGTCCTCAGTCCTCAGCTCCCAGTCCTCTAGTCTGAGACACCTGGACCTGAGTAACAACAACCTGCAGGATTCAGGAGTTAAGCTGTTGTCTGGTGGACTGGAGAGTCCACACTGTACACTGGAGACTCTCAGGTTAGTGTTTAGCTGTTTTGTATTCATACCTCTGACCTGTTATTTACCTCAAATATTGAATATTTGAGAGTTTTTCCATGAATTCCTCTTCAGACTGAGTGGCTGTAACCTCTCAGAGAGAAGCTGTAAAGCTCTGTCCTCAGTCCTCAGCTCCCAGTCCTCTAGTCTGAGACACCTGGACCTGAGTAACAACAACCTGCAGGATTCAGGGGTCAAGATGCTGTCTGCTGGACTGAAGAATCCACTCTGTACACTGGAAACTCTCAGGCCCGGATTCATCAACCTGTTTATCTGATGAGGGTTTAACAGAGCATCGAGTGTTTAGAGAGGTGTGTGTGTGTGTGTGTGTGTGTGTGTGTGTGTGTGTGTGTGTGTGTGTGTGTGTTCAGTCTGTCAGGATGTCTGGTCACAGAGGAAGGCTGTGCTTCTCTGGCCTCAGCTCTGAGCTCCAACCCCTCCCATCTGAGAGAGCTGGACTTGAACTACAATCACCCAGGAGACACAGGAGTGAAGCTGCTGTCTGCTGGACTGGAGGATCCAGACTGGAGACTGGACACTCTCAGGTACGTAGAAGCCTGCAGCAGAAACACACACTGTCTGATGGAGGAGGAAGAGCTGAAACATTTTCTGTGACAGATCTCTACAGAAGATCTTTGACTTCAACAACAACAGAGGAGTTTCCTCCTGATGACTTCAGTGTCTCGTTATGACTCACTGTGTCATATTTAGGAGAAGAGATCTCAGTGATGAAACCAGCTGTTGTCAGCTGTGTTTTGTGACCTAAGCAGGAATTTAAGCTTATTTGTCTCTACAGATGTTTTGTATCATGAAACATCTGTTTTCAAACTGAAACAAATCTGACACCAGATCAGATGAAGCCACAAAGTGGCTCCTTAATGAAAACTATACAGCAGCTGTAGCTTCACTAGACTTCCTCTCTGAGTCCATGTATGTTGAGCTGAGCCTCTTTCTCTCTGCTCTACAGTTTCTCTGGCTTCCTCTGGACTTTGACTTGAAGTCAAATAAAAATGTCCCGACAGGTTTGATGGAGCTCAGGACTCATCCTGAGGACGGCTGCTTTATTCCACATGATTTGACTGATCAACAGTGAATCTGTGTCACAGCTGATCTGTCTGAAGAGTAGAAAAGTACAGAATGTCATTTATCATGAGATCCTGATCCATCCTGTCACTGTGATGACATCATTTCTATTAGAAATCCTTCATCCAGTCACTGCTGCTGTGCCACCTGTTAAAACTTGTGCACAGCCTCATTCTTAAAGCGTCCTGTGGAGTTTTCTTGTAACAAACACAAGTTGTGTTCACACTCAGTGTTTCTCACCAAAACTCACTGTGTGTTTCACTGAGCTCTCACTAATGTGTTGAGTGTGTTTCCTTCCTCATGAAACATTTCAATCATGAGTTGTTCACAGTCTTCTTCTTCTCTGCCTTTGTTGGTGCATTGTGGGATATCTTGGCTGGTTAGCTCCACTGTGTCTTCATCTTATTTGCTGTGACATTTGTTTGTGCAGCTTGAGAGTCAGAGACTGAAAGTGTGTGTCCCACAGCAGAACTGATATGAAATGGAGAAAACACATGATGAAATATTTTCTCCATGTCTCCTCCTGCTCTGGATCATTACAAGATAAAGACTCCAGCTCCTTTTCCTCTGTGGTCAATGTACATCCATACATACAAGCCTCCATCTGAACACAGTAATCCAACAGTCTGTGTATGAGCCATGTAATGTCCATGTGTGCATGCTGACAGAGAACGTGCTGGTCTGACCCCCCTCCTCCTTTCAGGGCGGAGCCTGGTGGAGTCCGATGGTTGAGAGCAGGTCTGAGGAAGTGTAAGTGTGTTTTTAATGTGATTGATGAAAACAAAGCAGCACATTCAACCATCTTCAAACTGTCACATCACTGATGTCAGGAGTCATCATCAAACTGTCAATAACTGATCAGATGATCAATAACTGGAGCTGTGTCTTGTTCTCTCCATCAGATTCCTGTGAACTCACAATCGACACAAACACAGTTCACAGAGAGATAAAACTGTCTGACAACAACAGGAAGGTGACACATGTGGAGGAGGATCAGTCATATCCTGATCATCCAGACAGATTTGACTTCTGGCCTCAGCTGCTGTGTTCAACTGGTCTGACTGGTCGCTGTTACTGGGAGGTCGAGTGGAGAGGAGGAGTTTATATATCAGTGAGTTACAGAGGAATCAGCAGGAAAGGAAACAGAAAAGACTGTTGGCTTGGAAGGAACGATCAGTCCTGGAGTCTGATCTGCTCTAATGATGGTTACTATGTCTGGCACAATGACAGAGTGACACCTATCTCCTCCTCCTCCTCCTCCTCGTCTGTCTCTAACAGAGTAGCAGTGTATGTGGACTGTCCCTCTGGCTCTCTGTCCTTCTACAGAGTCTCCCCTGACTCACTGATCCACCTCTACACCTTCAACACCACCTTCACTGAACCTCTGTATCCTGGGTTTGGACTCTGGTCGTTTGGTTCCTCAGTGTCTCTGTGTTGAGTGTAGCAGAGAGAGTCTCCTCCTGTCAGAGAAACTTACTGTTGAACAGATCAGTCTCTACATGTCTGTCTCTTTCACTCACTCACCTTTTCAGACAGAGATTTCTTCCTCTTCCTTTAAAGACAGAAACTACGATTATTACACAAAACTTGTTGATTTTTACTTTTGTAAGACTCTGATTTTCTTGTCTTTTCACAATAAAAGCATAAGTGTGAGTATCAGTGTCTCTCTGAATCTGAGGACGATTGAGCTGATTCAGTTCAAACTAAAATGTTTTCATAGTTTATTTTAAAGGTCTGAGAAAAGACAAAGACAGTCAGTGAAATGGTCCTGAGGCTCTCAGTGATGAAGGTTTATGTCCAGAGGAAAGACTGAAAATTTCTAATAAATGAGGTTTTCAGTGTCTTTGTCCAAGAGGCTCCAGGTGGTCGATGACTCTCTACAAGTTTGGAGGTTGTTGGTTCAATCCTGAGACAGAGATTTAACTTTGAAAGCCAATGTCCAGAGGAAAGACTGAAATTTTCCAAGAGAAGAAGTGGTTCTTGTTTCTGTCCCAGTCTCTCCAGCTGCTGGAAGACTTGTCAAAGGTTTTGAGGTCATGTGTTTTAATCCTCAGTGACTCAATGAAGGTTGACGTCCAACACTAGAAGTGAAAACTCAAAATCTGTCACAGTCTCAAAGTGGTGAGACATTTAGAGGTTGTGTGTTTGATCCTGATCACATGAGAAAGTCCACCACCCAGAGGAACGACTGAGAAGCTTTTAGAAATGATGTCTCCAGTGTCTCTGGTGTTAGAGGACTCTTTAGGTGTTTCACAGTCATGGGTTTGATCCTCCTGAAGTTTGAAGTCCAACACTAGAAGTGAAAACTCAAAGGCTCTGAGGGAAACCTCTCAAACTGTCTTTCAGTGAGTTACAGACCTGCCAACCTTTACGCTTTCTACGTAGCAGGTACGCATTTTGACATCAAAGTACTTTGATACGATTTGTTGCTGTAAAATACACAGAAACTTGTTGATGCCTGTGAGTTCAATTGTGCACGTGCAGTACTCACGTCTAACAGCAGGGGGGCAGCAGCGTCTCGTCTACTGAGTAAGAGAAGAAGACTTTGACCAATCACAGCGCTGGGTTCAGTCCTCCAAATATCAAACATTTCAACACACTGCTGTTCCACAGTGACAGAAACAGGGCTATCCCTCCAGTTCCCGCTCCTCTCTCCACCTGGCTGCTTCCTCAGGTGAGGGCGGGGCTTCATCTCCTCCACAAAGGTAAACAGGCTGCGATGGATATGGAGAGTTGACTGTGAATTGAGTTATGTTAATGCAGACCTGCTAAACCTGACAAAATATTTAACGTTGATAACGTTAGCCTGATGCTAGCTAGCTACCAACATTTAAAATGTAAAGTAACGTTAAGGTGTGTTGTCCGTGTGTCGCAGGTTTTTAAACGTGACTTTGAGCATGAGTACACTGACGAGGAGAGATTGACAGTGTTTTACTTCACATTAGTTTATGTAACTAAAAAATTAAAACATATTACAATATACAAAATAAAATATTTAAATGTTTATTAAGTAATTGAATTAAATTCACCTATGATTATGTTTTTAGAAGCACAACTGTCATACAATAAAATATTAATCCTGAAAACAAAGGTTTGAAGCAGCTGCACTGAAACCTTTGAGAGTCTCTGTATATTATAATATATCCCAGTGTAAGTGATATTTTATAATAACATGGTCAAAGTTCCACAACTCGAGGTGGACGTATATAAATCTGCTCCCTGCAAGACAAAAACCAGGGTTCCTCCTCCTCTTCACACGTGCCCACAAACAGCTGACTGTTCCTAAATGTAAATATGTGCTTTCATTAGAGTTCCTCTCCAGAATATATGATTGTATCACTGAATGTTGAAGAACTTGATGAGATGTTGGTGAGGAGGGAAATGACTGTGCAAAGTGAAGAGGTGTTGAAGCATGTCAACTAACATTTTCACTATTATGGAACTCAAAATATTTCCCCAAGATTGACTGGAGTTAGAAAGCTCCTGACTCCCCTGAAGAGTCTGAGCCTAAATCTGATCACATGTGGCTTCCTGTGTTGGAGCCACAGACTCTTTATATTTTAGTTTATATACAGTCATTGCTCATTTTATTTTACTTTCACTCATTTTATACACGAAGAGCAAAATATCTTTGTATCTGAACATCCTTTGTTTCTCTGTATTATTCCAGTTGTCTTTCTTAATATAATCTTTTCTGGGGGGTGAAGTGGTTTTGGGGGGGGGGGGGCCA